CGATAGTACAATGAGAAGCCGTACTCACTGTCATCACTATAAAACTTTCCTTCACCACTCACTCATATTTCATTAAAATTCCTGAGGACCTTAATTTTAAATGTTACTGTCTTCTTCACTTTATATGTGTATTATGTTGAAAGTGTCATCCTTTTTTTTTTGAAGACCTTCTTGCAATCAACTTCTGTGAAAACTGAGGAGTGGAGAGTTAAAAGGAGTGACATTGAAGAGTGGATGAGGCATCGCCAATTGCCTCCAAATCTGCAAGAACGAGTTCGGCGGTTTGTTCAATATAAATGGATTGCTACTAGAGGTGTGGATGAAGAATCTATTCTACGGGATTTACCCTTAGACCTCCGTCGTGAAATTCAGAGGCACCTATGTATTGCTCTTGTTCGTCGTGTGAGTATGGAATCTATATACCACTTTCCTTATTTACAACAGGTTTTTGCAGTGAATGATCTTTCTGTTAATAATTGTAGATATTGTATAATTTTTGATATTATTTTCCTCCTAGCAGTATTAGACTTCTTTGAGTCTTAAGTGCTCCTTAATTTGTCCTAAATATGACTAGTAATGCATCAGGTTAATCACTAATCTTGTGGGAGGAAGCAGAGTCGCTTTGATGAGCATGCAGATTGAATATTATGCTTGTACTAATTTAAAACATGAAGATATTGCATATTGCAGAAGTGGCATTTTGTGCCAGGAGATTTTATCCATCAATTCAAATTTGCTTAAAATTCACAGATCCTGAAAATTGAATTTCATGATTTTAATATTGATCCACCATGAACTTTGGAAGTTGCATAAACTACCATGAAAGGTCCCACTTTTCATAAACCACCCCTTACAATTCTAATAATGGTTGTAAAATGACATACTCACCTCTTCACCATCATCTTTACCTTTTTCCTTCTCTATTTTCTTCTCTTCTCAGCCTAATCCAAATTCTGGATTTTTTTTAAATACCCAATAAATCACCACCACCACCACCATAATTATCATCGTTGACATCGTCGTCGTCGTCGTCATCATCATCATCATCTTCTTCTTCTTCTGCTGTTTCTTCCTCTTCCGTTTTCTCCCCAAACCATAAAGAGACCATAGTGTCCCCCCTTCTCGACATCTTCTGCACCACTTGTATCATTGTCTTCTTTTTCTAAGGACAAATGACAATTTGCAGGAAGCCATGACATAAACTTCAAAGTTCGGGTTCAAATTCTGCAAAAGAGAATAAAAAAAGATTCTTGTTTTCTTTTAAAAATCATTATAGAACATGAAGACTACATATGTTGAGAGTTTAGGTGTATTAAGACACTAACGAGAAAAGAATAGGCGGATGATTATCAAGGACATGTCTGACAAATCTTTTCATGTGGAGGCCATATATCTTGAATTTCCATTTGGTTCAGTTATTTGACTTCATATATAACCTATGCCAAATGATTGCACATCATAGTTATAATTTATCGCAGAAAACATTCTCTAAATGGATTTATTTATGCTTTAGAGTTGATTCTAATTCATATACCAGCAAATTTTTATCTCCCCCCTTATAATTTCTTTAGTGGCCTAGGACAATTTTGGAGGATTTGTTATTGAGCTTAAAATGCATGTCAATATGTGGTCAAATTTTTCATGGTGGCCGTGCTCCATACGCACCTTTTTTTGCAAGTAATTTGTTTTGATGATCAGCTTCCATTTCATGCCCCAAATGCACTGTTTTCTTTTTTGACAGGTCCCATTCTTCTCACAAATGGATGATCAATTGTTAGACGCCATATGTGAACGCCTAGTGTCATCTCTAAGCATCAAAGACACATATATTGTCAGAGAAGGAGATCCAGTGAACAACATGCTCTTCATCATTCGAGGTACACTGGAGAGCTCCACGACAAACGGAGGCAGAAGCGGGTTCTTCAACTCCATCACCCTCAGACCCGGAGATTTCTGTGGCGAGGAGCTTCTTACATGGGCCTTGATGCCCAATCCCAACGTCAACTATCCACTCTCCACACGAACTGTTCGTGCCCTAGACGAAGTTGAGGCATTTTCTCTTCAAGCCGAAGACCTCAGATTTGTTTCCAGTCAGTTTAGACGACTCCATAGCAAAAAGCTTCAGCATGCGTTTAGATACTATTCTCATCAGTGGAGGACTTGGGGTTCTTGCTTCATCCAAGCTGCATGGAGAAGGTACAAGAAGAGGAAATTGGGCAGGGAGTTGGCTAAACAAGAGAGCCTTTATTATATGGATGATTTGGGCCAAGGCACTGAAGAATCTGAAGAAGTTCACCTTCTCAGTGAGTATGATAGTGTTGATGAATCATCGTCCTCTGGAGATAATGCAGGTAAATTCCCTAATCTGGGAGCGACGATACTGGCTTCTAAATTTGCCAAGAATACAAAGAAGGGAGTTCTTAAGAAAGTGAAGCGATCTACTCCTTCCAGCGATAGTATAAAGATGCCCAAGCTGCTGAAGCCAGATGAACCCGATTTCTCTATGAATCCTGATGATAGTCTTATATGATATATACCCTGTTTATATTGATGTAGTGTATGTTAAAAGAGAGGCAAAAGAGATGACTAATAAGGAAAAATTGCGAATCTGTAATGTAATTGTAGTGACTTGAGATTTAACTCCATACGTTAGAGGCTTTGACTGCACCTTTTACTTGATGCATCTGAGCATTTTTGCATGATTAAGCCGAGTATGGAGAAATTACTAAACAATAGCGTAAATTGTGAGCCAGATATTTAACTGACAACAAGTGGATGCATTTCTGAACTGCTATCTTTTTGAGTGATTTCTCTAACTATAGTCACATTCGACTGCGTAACTTTCCATCAAGGTCTATGGTTCCTATTTTTTGATTCTTGAATTGTATGTGCATGCATAGAATGATTAGTTACTGTTAAACAATTAATTTTCTGTAACATAAGATCATTGTTGATATTAGTTGGCCCAAAGGCCTGTTGATGGCTTGTTACTAAAAAGGCCCAGTGCTCCCTCTTAATTCTCTTTCCCATCCCTTGTCTTGACTGCTGCGCCACTTTGAGTCCCATCTCCCTTTTGTAGGTCGGCTCCCTACCCTAGCCCATAACCTGGTGTCGGCTGCCCTTTTATTAGATCAATGAAGAGCTGAGAGAGAGGGTGTGACGGTGAAGAGAAAACTGAGCTTGGTGCTCCTCTGCTTTGTGCGATCCTCTCCCCTCCCTTGTGAGCTTTGTACAATCCCCCTCTCTTCTGTGAGCTTTGTGCTCTCACCCCTTTGTGCGTTCTCTTCACCTCTATGAGTGATTTAGGAGATAATTTGTGGCGAGCTCTCCCTTTGTGTTCTTGGAGGTGCACTAGAGAGGAGAACAGGGACTGGTTTCAGCAGGCTTCTGAGCCAAATATTGACGACCAAGATCCTCAACAGTTTCAACAAAGCCAGAGCTTAACTGTAATTTTCAATATCATAATTAAATGCAGTGGAAATGGGGAACAATTAATATAGCATCAAATAAAGGGGCGATGCAGATGAGAACAAATAACAGAAGCAACAGGAACAGTTTTTCAACAAAACCAGAGATTACCTGAGCGAAACCCACTGTAGAGAGTTTCGACCTTACCCACGTGGTGGTTCGGTGGCGTTCCTGCGACGACGACTCAACGAGGCCCGACGGCGGCGACTGGCGATTTTGAACGGTGACGACTCACCGAGCTCTGACACCACTGTTGACGATCTTAGTCGCCGATGTTTGGCTGAGAAGCCTCCTGAAACTAGTCCATGTTCTCCTCTATAGTGCACCACCAAGAACACAAAGGGAGAGCTCGCCACAGATCTGCTCCTAAACCACTCACAGAGGTGAAGAGATCTCACAAAGGGGTGAGAGCACAAAGCTCATAGGAGCACAAAGCTCACAGAAGAGAGGGGGATCACACAAAGCTCACAGGGGAGGGGAGAGGATCGCACAAAGCAGAGGAGCACCAAGCTCAGTTTTCTCTTCACCGTCACACCCTCTCTCTTAGCTCTTCACTGATCTAATAAAGGGGGCAGCCGACACCAGGTTATGGGCTAGGGTGTGAACCCGAGCTTTGTGCTCATCGTTATTCCCATTTTGTTTGTGCTAGTTGCTTCGCAAATTTGAAAATTTTTCGGCTATATTTGCATTTTATTTTTTTTGAAAAATTTTCTGTTATTGTTTGTGCTCGTGTGAAAGAACAAAGAGATTAAAATAAGAACTTTGTGTTCACCGTTCTTCCCATTTGTTCGTGCTAGTTGCTTCACACGTTTCGAGCCAGATAATTACCGAAATTAGATTTGTTCGTGCTAGTCGCGGTGATACCATTGTTTATTTTTTCTATGTGAAGAATGTTTGCTGCTAATCAATATGATATGGTTTCGTTCAACGAAAAAAAAAAATCTGATTTTAGCATTTGGAAACAAAAAATAAAATGTATTTTAATTCAACAGAAGTCTTTTAGGGCTGTTGGTCAGACTTATTTGACTTCTGACACTGAAGAAAAAATGACTGAAATGAACGAAAATGCTTGTTCCATAATTTATTTAAACTTATCTGACTCTGTGCTTAGAAAAGTTGGAATTTTGGAATCTGCTAAAACCCTTTGGGATAAACTTGAAGAACTCTATACTGAAACCTCTTTGCCCAGTAAAATATTTTTGCTTGAATTTTTTTTCAAATTTAGATGGGATATGTCTAAGGATATTGAGGAGAACCTAGATGTTTTCACAAAACTTATTTCAGATATTAGGTTAACTGGTGATAAACATGTAGACGACTATACTCCTATTGCCCTTCTAAATGCTATTCCTGACTCATATAGTGATATAAAATCTGCTATTAAATATGGTAAAGATGATGTTACCCTTGATATTGTGGTCAAGGTCTTAAGAGTAAGGAATTAGATTTAAAACATTTTAGGGAAAATGATAATTCTGGTGAGGTTATGCATGTGAGGGGTAGGTCTCAGAATAGGTCTAATAACCAAGAGAATGCTAGTAATGGAGAATCAAGTAGGAAAAAAAAATCTGAAAATGAAAGGGGGTAGATCTAAGTTTAGGTCTAAAGTTAAAAGATGCTATAACTGTCATGAAACTGGTCACTTTATTAGAGCTTGTCCTAAGCCTAGGGAAAATCAACAAAATGATCATACTAATATGGCTATCTGTGAGGGCGAAATAGGTGAAATTTTCATGATTAATAATCTGTGTGATTATGCATATTTGAACTTTGTGTTAACTGCTTCTTTGTGTAAATCAGATTGGTTGGTAGACTCTGGTTGTACTTTTCATATGATTCCATTTAAAAATATGTTTTCAAACTACAAGAAAATAGAGAATGGCTTTGTGTCAATGACAAATGAAAAAAATGTAATGTTTTAGGAACTGGTGATGTATACCTTAGGTTTTCTTCTGGTTCTATGTTTACTTTGAAGGATGTTAGGTATGTTCCTGATTTACGTTATAACTTGATTTCTTGTGCATCTCTAGAAAATGATGGCTTGGAGGGAAAATGAGGTAAAGGGGTTATGAAGATTTTGTAAGGGTCTCTTGTTATTTTTGCTGCCGAAAAACAAAATAACTTGTATATTTGTCATGCTGAACATGTGCTTGATTCTGTTAACTCTGTGATAGGTGATAAATTTGTTTTAGGCATAATAGATTAGGTCATATGAGAAATAGAGGATTAAAAATTTTGCATAAAGGTGGTCACTTTGGTAGTGACAAAGGATCCTCAACAGAGAGGATGAATAGAACTCTCTTAGAGAGGGCGAGGGCTATGTTGATCATATCTGGGCTCTCTAAGAGGTTCTGGGGAGAAGCTGATTGTACTACAGCCTATTTGATTAATAGGTCTCCCTCTGTCCCCTTAGGAGGAAAATGCCCTAAATTTGTGTTCACAGGCAAACATCTTGATTTAAATAATTTGAGAATTTTTAGGTGTGCTTGCTATGTGCATCAAAGGATTGATAAGTTAGAACCATGCTCTAAGAAATGTGTTTTCTTAGGATACCCTGAAGGGGTAAAAGGTTATAGGCTTTGGAATAAGAGTGAACCGGGGTTTAAGGTAGTGATAAGTAGAGATGTTATCTATACTACTTATAAAAGAGAATATGGGTGTCAAAACTTTTGGCTTCCTATTTTGCCCCTCTTAATATTTATAATTCCTATGTTTGATAATTCCTCAATTCACTTAATTAATGATCTCTTATCCCTCATCCACTAACAATAATTCAATCCATAAATCTTTTACTAGGAATTTTAATGCATAAGTTTTTTATTATGAAAGTCAAAGCATAAGTTACTCAATTCAAGATTCTTCCCTTGTTTGTTTTCTTCTTTTGCAATTATTTTTAAATTTGTGTGTTAGTTGTATAAAATTGAGTGTATATAAATTTGATGGTTATATACACATACACATATATAAATTATATAATATGATTGATTTACGATAAATAAATAACATACATTAATAAATAATAATATAACATATAAAATAATAGTTCAAAAAATATTTTAAAATAATATTAAACAAATTACAAATAAAATCTACAAAAAATTTAATTTTACATAATTAAACATATCAATATTATATTTATCGGAAGGTGCATGAACCCTTCAAGTCAAACTAATATTGTTGACGACACAAAAGATAAAAGATTTATCTTTTTTTAAAATCTTTGATAGCATAAAGTGCATCTAAAAAGTTCTCTTTTGTAATGGAGAAATAATATAAGTGAAGTAGTGTAGCTATCATTATAATTTTAATTTAAAAATACTGAACTTGAGGATTAATGGGCATCGCCAACATCAGGTTTAGGCTTTTTGTCTGAACTTCCTAGCAACAACCAAGTGTCATCTAAAAAAGTATTTAAGATTTATTAAAATAATAACTACCGAAATATCACATTTATTAATATTAGCTACACAATTTTGATTTTCATTTTGATAAAAAAGATATTACTAATTATTTCACAAGTATGCCCACGTGTAAAGCACGTGCACTATACTAGTTTTTAATAAAAATGAATTTCTTTGTTTACCTTTACCTGTTCCTATGTCTCAAAATGATGCTCCATGCTCCAAATAAGGTGGAGCAAATGCCTATTATTAATCAACCTGAATCACATCCTGAAGATATAATTATTGAAAATCAAGATGAGATTATTCCTAATGAGGTGGAGCATGATATGTAGGAAATATATAACATGCATGATTTGAATGATTATCAACTCACTAGGGATAGAAATAAAAGAACCATTAGGAAACCTGAAAGGCATAGAGATTACAATTTGAATGATTGTAATATGTCTGAGTTTGCCTTTAATGTGTTTGAATCCCTTGAGTGCAATAATCTAAGACTTATAGAGTTTGGTCCTTTGTGGACTTGGCATTGAATTTCGACTTTGGGTAAAAATTTTCCCCTTTGCTTTGTGTGTTGCCTTTGTGGCCTATTAACATGCTTTGTGCTTGGGTAATTTTTTCCCTTTGCTTTATGTGTTGCCTTTGTAGCCTATTAACTTGCTTTGTGCTTGTTAGTAGCTTTGTGATTTTTTCCCTTTGAACTCGATGATCGTTTGGTAGAGTTCGGTCCTTTGTGGGCTTGGTATGCTTGGTGATCTTACCCCGATCTTTGTGATCTGAGTTTACTTATGCTTGGTGATCTTACCCCGATCTTTGTGATCTGAGTTTACTTTGTGTATTCTCTTCCATTGCTTGTATCTTCTTTGTGATGTTTACTTTGTGTATTCTCTTCCATTGCTTGT